TCACTGCGTGTGTCACCTGTGTGTGTCACTATGTGTCACTACGACGAGCTGCTGGCAGCTGAGGCTCGGTGAGTGTCACCTGTGTCACCTGTGTCACCTGTGTGTGTCACTGTGTGTGTCACTGTGTGTGTCACCTGTGTGTCACCTGTGTGTGTCACCTGTGTGTGTCACCTGTGTCACCTGTGTGTCACTGTGTGTGTCACTGTGTCACTGTGTGTGTCACTGCGTGTGTCACCTGTGTGTGTCACTATGTGTCACTACGACGAGCTGCTGGCAGCTGAGGCTCGGTGAGTGTCACCTCTGTCACCTGTGTCACCTGTGTGTGTCACCTGTGTGTGTCACCTGTGTGTGTCACCTGTGTCACCTGTGTGTGTCACCTGTGTCACCTGTGTGTGTCACCTGTGTGTCACCTGTGTGTGTCACCTGTGTGTGTCACCTGTGTCACTGTGTGTGTCACCTGTGTGTGTCACTGTGTGTGTCACTGTGTGTGTCACTACGACGAGCTGCTGGCAGCCGAGGCTCGGTGAGTGTCACCTCTGTCACCTGTGTCACCTGTGTCACCTGTGTGTGTCACCTGTGTGTGTCACTGTGTGTGTCACCGTGTCACCTGTGTCACTCTGTGTGTCACCTGTGTGTCACCTGTGTCACCTGTCTGTGTCACCTGTGTGTGTCACTGTGTCACTGTGTGTGTCACTGTATGTGTCACCTGTGTCACCTGTGTCACTGTGTGTGTCACTATGATGAGCTGCTGGCAGCTGAGGCTCGGTGAGTGTCCCCTGTGTCACCTCTGTGTGTCACCTGTGTCCTGTGTCACCTGTGTCACCTGTGTCCTGTGTCACCTGTGTCACTGTCCCACGGCCTCATCCCAAGGGAACATCCCAAGGGAACACCCCAGGAACATCCTGGGAACATCCTGGGAACATCCCAAGGGAACATCCCAGGGGAACATCCCAAGGGAACATCCCAAGGGAACATCCCAGGAACATCCCAAGGGAACATCCCAAGGGAACATCCCAAAGGAACATCCCAAGGGAACATCTTGGGAACATCCCAAGGGAACATCTTGGGAACATCCCAAGGGAACATCCCGGGAACATCCCAGGGGAACATCCCAAGGGAACATCCTAGCCCCCATCCCTGTGCCGGGACAAGGATCCGGCTGGGCCTGGATCCAGCTGGGATCTGCCGCTGCTTTTCCATCCCTCGGTTCCATCCCCACGTTCCCGGTCCAGGCTCCTCCGGCCCCGCTGCTCAGGGCAGGGCCGCGCTCCGGGCGGATCCCGCTGATCCCGGGATCCACAGGAGCTCATTCCCGGCGATCCCGGGATCCACAGGAGCTCATTCCCAGTGATCCCGGGATCCACAGGAGCTCATTCCCGCTGATCCCGGGATCCACAGGAGCTCATTCCCGCTGATCCCGGGATCCGCAGGAGCTCATTCCCGCTGATCCCGGGATCCACAGGAGCTCATTCCCGCTGATCCCGGGATCCACAGGAGCTCATTCCCGCTGATCCCGGGATCCGGCAGGAGCTCATTCCCGCTGATCCCGGGATCCGGCAGGAGGTCATTCCCGCTGATCCCGGGATCCACAGGAGCTCATTCCCGCTGATCCCGGGATCCACAGGAGCTCATTCCCAGTGATCCCGGGATCCACAGGAGCTCATTCCCGCTGATCCCGGGATCCACAGGAGCTCATTCCCGGCTCCTCTTGCAGGGCCATCAAGAACGGGAAGGGGCTGCACAGCAAGAAGGAGGTGCCGATCCACAGGGTGGCCGACATCTCCGGAGTAAGGATCCAAACGGGATAAAACCTGTGGGGAGAAATGGGATAAAACCTGGAGAAATGGGATAAAACACACAGGGATAAATGGGATAAAACCTGGAGAAATGGGATAAAACCCACAGGGAGAAATGGGATAAAACCCACGGGGAGAAACGGGATAAAACCCACGGGGAGAAACGGGATAAAACCCACGGGAATAAATGGGATAAAACCCACAGGGATAAATGGGATAAAACCTGGAGAAATGGGATAAAACCCACGGGAATAAATGGGATAAAACCTGTGGGGAGAAATGGGATAAAACCTGCAGGGATAAAATCCATGGGGAGAAATGGGATAAAACCTGTGGAGATAAAACCCACGGGAATAAACGGGATAAAACCCTCAGGGATGAAACCCGTGGGAATAAACGGGATAAAAGCCTCCTGGCACCGTTTCCCGGGAGCTCCGGGGTTGTTCCCGTTTCCCCTCGGGTCAATAAACCGGGAGCTGCCCCAGAGCCTGGGATCCAGAGCCGGGAGCCAGCACCGGAATGCCGGTGGGAAAATCCGGGATTCCCCGGCTCTGCTGAGGGGATCTGGGGATCCCCACACCTCCCGGCAGAGCTCGTTAAGTTTCCCTCCGTTAATTAACGTTTCCAAGGATTTCTGTGGAGCTCTTGGCGGATGGGATGGGATGGGATCCATGGGATCCATGGGATGGGATGGGATAGGATGGGATGGGATGGGATGGGATCCATGGGATGGGATGGGATGGGATGGGATGGGATCCATGGGATGGGATGGGATCCATGGGATGGGATGGGATGGGATGGGATGGGATGGGATCCATGGGATCCATGGGATCCATGGGATCCATGGGATGGGATG